TAGTATCTTTGATGTTATCAATAACTAGAAAAAAGAAATGGGAGCTTTAAGTTTAAGGGAGTGTATTGCATATGACTCTTAGGCCTCGTTTGGCAACTAGGACTGTACAGACTATTTCAGTTGGATAGGACAAATAGTCTAGTTCTGACTAAATTAGTCGGGCGTTTGGTGTTATGTCGGAATAATTTGTCCATCAGATAATACGTCGGACTATAATTTTTTTTTTTAAATCACATAATAATTGTTGTTAAAATGAAAAAAGGGAGAAAAACAGAAGGAAAAAAAAAGTAATTAAACATCATTAAGACAAAATTGAAAAAAAAAATTAGAAAAAAAGGAAGGTGAAAAACCCAGGTCTCTTCCCAGCGTGTCTTCCTTTCTTCACCATCCTACCCACGCTTCAAATTCCACCCTCCCATACGAACCCACTTCCTCATTTCTTCAATCACCCAAAACCCACATTGATTCACCAACCAAAACAATTACTGATTAAATTGAAGATCCAAATTGATGAAGAAAAGAAATCAATTCGTGGCATGGTCCAAGTTATCTGGAACCGTCGGAGCTGGATCCAACGCTGTCGGCGGCGGAAGATTATTGAGCTGCTAAGCTTATTGTTGTTGACGATCGATCGGGTTTCTTGATCTCAACTACCTTTTTGTCCACATTGTCGTGCTTCGACGTCGACGGCTGAAATGTGACGGAACAGGAACCAGTGGACGAAAGGGGAAATTGCTCGGCGACCAATTGCAGAGGAGTGGCGGTCGGCGTTGAAAACTCGTCGAGGAACTGCTCGTGAAGATGGAGCGGATTTGCCAAGGAGCAGATCAGTGAAACCGAAGAGGGGAAGTGAGTGTGTTTTTGGTTAGCGCCTTCGATTAATAATACCAAGTTTTTGGGTTGTATTAATTGTCCAGTGTCAGCCGTACTAAATTTGATGGATGGTATAATTAAGCGGATGCTTATTCAGTATGGTAGTGCACCAAACAATGGCTACCGTATTATTAATTCTATATGGTGCTTAATACGACGTGCCAAACTAGGCTTTAAATTCAAGTGTATTCAATCCTGGTTTTGTTGGAGACTAATACAAGTCATCCTGTATTGAATAAAGATTTTTTATGACTTTTAAAAAGTCTACAAAAACCTTGTAGTATTATATTATGACATTTTTACCAGCCTACAAAAGTCTAGATGTATTCAATATTTCGTTCATTTTAAAGGATTTTAAAAAGGGAGTTTTAACGAAACACTTCCGGTACTGTTCACTTTTAACGAAAAACCACATTTTTACCTTTCTCTGGTACTATTCACTACACCTTTATATGTCATTTTTCATTAAAACTAAAGTTTTTTAGACTTTTCGTTAGTTTTCCATTTTAAAAAAGTCATGGACTTTCAGAGACTTTGATGTGTTTTATGTTATACTTGTTGTCATAATAAATCCAACCTCTCCTCCTAAATTTTTGATGGATTTTGTTTTATTACTTCTAATTAGGGGTGGGCACGGGCCGAGCCGGGCCCAATTTTGAAGGGACCGGACCTGATCGGACCCAAGTTCAAAGGAGACGGACCGGGATGGGCCGGGCATTACATTTTCTAATATAGGAATCGGACCTTACTCGGCCCAATTGAAACGGGTCGGTTCAGGCCGGGTCCACGGGTCCCTTTTTTTTTTTTTTTTTGAAAGAAGGAAAAAAAAACTAAAATTTGCACAGATTCACTACTAGTACCAGACTACCAGTGCAGAGTCTAGATTGCATTTGTTCAGATATACAAGCAGAGTCCATCGTCCCCTGCTGAAGGCGTAACAGAATCTACAACCTAAGATAGTTCAAATTAAGCATCCTGAGAATTCTGAGGCAAGCTATCAACTTTATGCCATCCCCTAGAGGTTCCACCTTTACATTTCAAATCCTCTAATTCAAGTTCTTAAGAAAAACAGAGAAAGCAGCACTTAAACCCAATTTAAATCCTTGTTCATGCCTACGAAAATATCATCCCTGCTTCGACCAGTAATTGTCATTTCTCGAACCTCCATATTAAAAGAAGCTTATAGAAATTTCACATACACTTTTCATTACGTATCAACCAAGAGAATGGGGAAACTGCAACAGCATCAGGTTGGCCCTCAACTTATCAAAAATGTAGCATTAACACGTTCAACTAAAAACCATCCGCAAATGCAACGAATTACACAACAGGCTCTCATTGCAAAAATAAGACAATTCAAACGCAACAACTACGAATAATATGACCTGATTTATTCATCAAATTGACAAAGTTGTTGCTGCATATGTATTGCAAATAGGAATTCTAATAGTCCAAACATTCATATTATCAAAGGCCCTCTAGGTTCTTAGAAGCAAACAGATCAATCATCAATCTACTGCAAAGTTAACTCTAGTAACTTGGTTCGAAAACCCTAAAATCCCTACACCCGAAATTCAAATTAATAACAAAACCTTAATTCAAAATTACCTAAATTTTAGAGGGATGATGGCTGGTACCAGTGTCTTCGACGACGGTGATGGGGTGATGGCGGTCGCGATGACGGAAGTTACTGTTGAAGAGGAGAGAATTGACAACGGGGGTGATGGCATGGGTTCTCTAAGATGTTATCGAAAAGGATGATGGGTGGTGCCATTGTGTTCGCCAAGGAAAATCGATGGTTAGTGAGCACTGTGGGGAGGAGGACGATTGGAGTCGAGGAAGTGAGTCAAGCTGTCGAGGGATTGAGAGTCTGAGAGTGAGAGTGAAAGTCAAGACGAGAGAGAACCTAGGGTAAAACTAAAACGAACGGTTCAGATTAGAGATGGTAGCTTATTCATCAATCTGGTCCGTCCATTTCAAATTACAAACGAGCCTGTCCGGGTACCCGCGGTTCCTATACTCCAAGAACTAGCCCGAACTGAAAATCTCAAAGGCCTGCCCCATTTCTCATTTTTAAAAGTAGGAACCGACCTGTACCCATCCCGACCCGAGGTTCCTGTACCCGTTTGCCCACCTCTACTTCTAATGATTACTCCACCACCCACCATGATGTAATAAGGATCAGATATCTCCACTTTCGCAACACCATGTCATCACCATTGATGCCACTACCATCACAATCATCTCACTTCTTCTACTAGCACCTTGTCATACAATCATCACCGTGTCACAAGCTCCTAGAACCATATTTATGCCTTCACCGATACAACCAACATGATCGCCACTTGAAATACTACCATGTTAACTTGCCCGCTACCTCTACTACCACCAACAAAATTTCACAACCATCATCATCATAACCTTCTGCGACCACTTTTTCGTCGCCACCCCCACCTATGACTATTGACACTGCCATCATCATGATCGCCACCTTTACTTCCCTCTTATACGCCCATCACCACTCCACCCCCACTCCACCCCCACTCCACCCCCACTCTTCCACCACTCTAGCACGACATTAGAAACACACAATTTACAAGAATTTGGAATAAAAAGATATAATGTTTATGGGTTAAGGATTCTTTCGTATTTCTAACAATTTTGGTCATATCAGGAAAAAGTAAATTACGTAAGTGTAACATTACTTACTCCTAATCAGTGGCGGATGCATTGGGGGGCAGGGGGTCAGCTGACCCCCCAAACTTCGATGAATGTCTATGGATACTTTGGGTGCTGACCCTCCAAACTTCAGTAAATGTCCATGAATACCTTGGGTGCTGCCCCTTGCATACATTAACAGGTGTGCAATATGACTTTCCAAATGACTTTAGGCCTACCAAGATTCGATGAAAATGCGATATGTATGCTATTTCTGGTAAAAAAAAATTACATGCACACCTAATATTATTTCCTAGATCTGCCACTGCTCCGAATTGGTTCCTTAACCAAAAAAAAGGTATAATTATTACAAAGTTTGTTAAATTCTCTTGAACTCTAAAAAAAGTCGAGCATTAAACTCTCAAAAATATATAGGAGTCTATCAAGAAAAAGTGCGTGGATTTCAATAAAAGTCGATGAATTCTACAAAAGTCTCACATAAAAAAAGGTTGGAGCTCTACTCTTCCAGAAGAATTTTCATGCAACAGTGATGTTGGCATATCTTAGTCGATCACGTACTACTTTATAACATATTTTGTGTATATATAGGCATATCAATGTTGAATATAAGTTCCACATTGGGGAATTAAGAAAATAAAATACGATATACAAGTTTATGATTCCATTCCTAATAACATCGAGATCTTTTGTGATAAAATTCAACACCAAAATATTAGTGTGGTTAGGAGTGGATCAAATGATCCGTCTCTTTGAATTTTTGACTAATCGATCGCATTATTAGAAAATATATAACTTGAGATATATTTGGAAATTTAGAACTTGAGACCTTGTCCAAGTAGGTATATGATACCACTAGAAAAATCGAGTATGGAGGTAGGCATACATAGAAATGATGGTACCATTTAGACAACCCTAGGTCATCACCACCATGTTAACGTGCCGAAACAGCCGGTCTGTCCATTTTATTCAACCACGTCTCCACCCAAAGGCGGCTTACTTCTCAGTTACGCAACAACAATGACAAAATGTAATGGATTATACATATTTGTTTCGTTTTCATGAATCTTTGACGAACTATAATTAGTGTAATTAAAGTGCTTTTAGAAATCTCCAAGTCATCAGATTTCACGAGTTCATTGTCATACAAGCTAAAGCTAATCAAATTGATAAACTCTTAGGCGTATGTTCCACCACCAACATCACAAATTACATACTGAAATTCAACAATACATATACAATGCAAGATCCTCCCACTAATTTCTTTTATTTTCGGGTCACGTCGCTTTCGTACAACTTGTAAGTTGTTACGTACTTATTTACATCAAAGCTAATTTCAGAGAAAACCCCAAAGTAGGCACATATGGAGGAAACTTTCTACAAGCAACTCATCATAAATACATCTTTGAGGTTAAAGCAACGGATTTCATGTGGAATGCGCTCTACCTTAATTAAGCTGAAGCAGCAGCCGTGCAAACGGGTAGATCTGTGGCAACGTTAGGCGGAGTCCGAAGTATGGGGTTACTCTCAAAGAAATTGACAGGTTTGATATCGAAGCTAGATGACACAGTTGGCATTATAGGGAAGTCTTCTTGACAGGGTATGTGATGAAACCCTAATGTGTACCAAACCACAATGTCCTTGTTCTCGATTGGTCGGTCCCTACAATATCAAAATGAATCGAATTGTATCAGCATTGTGTACATGTGATCATCAGTAAATTTGATGCAAATAAATAACCTAACAGTAGTATGTACGTACCTGTTAGACCACACGGCAAGAGTATCTTCGCCTGTGCTTTGGTCTACAAACAACCCACCAGCCCATTGTTCGCTCTTATTGTATGGGGTAACCCAAATTTGATTGTTTGTAAAAGCACCTCTCTTTTGGGGAGGGTCGTCAAGATCAAGCAAGCTAGCAGCAGTGCCACCGGGAACCAACTTGTACCCTACAGGGTTTCCAACCCGTGTCTTTTTCGATGGGTTGATCACGTGGAATTCGGACGGGTCATAGAGTTTGAGCTTAATCTGTGCATCTTTCTCAGTTTTGGCAACGGTTTTAGTAGCTTTCAAGTAGCTTTTCCTTGGTGATTCAGTTGGGGAGTTGGACTGCCTTTGGAGATTCACCTTCATAAAGGAGTTATCTGAGCCGTCCACGTCCATATCAAGATGAAATGTGACGTAATGATCGTGAATAACGCCAATAACGTTCTCCGACAAGAGGGTGCCATAGAGATTCTCTTGGCTAGATGAGACTTGGTTCATGTTCTCATAGGAGGTGCCTTTCACCATCAAAATGCCACTAAGTCCAACCTATATGTTTGTTGCACACACGTATTATATGTAGTATTAACAATCTTAAAATACAAAATATTACGATGAATTTCCATAAAAATACAATAAATGACAGGTTTAGTCCCTCAGTCAATTCTAGTTATTCACGCTTGTAAGACTCATAAATAAACGACCACAATCTGAGATATTCACGCTTGTGAGACTCATAAAGTAGAAACAACCACAATCAATCAGGTGATACGCCATGCACTATTAATCTTAATTACACTCTAAGAGAACATATATATCAGGATTTTAATCAAACTCAAAAGGAAACAATGATAGTAATTATAGGAGAAGTAATCACCACTAACCTTAACCCTGATTAGTCCGTCTGTTTGGAACTCCCAGTCGACGATATAATCATAGTTAGCAACTGATGCTGCCATTCTAACTACCAATGTCACCTTTGGCCTCACTTCCCTAACCTGTCACAACGCATTATTTTTCTACTAATTATATATTATCATCGCTAATGCTATTTACTTATATAAAACTGATACACTTGCTAAAAACATCATAATATACTAAATATTTTGTTTAATAGAAATGCGATTGCATGTATAGATGAGTCTTACTTGTATTCAAAATATTAATAATGTAACATAAAACTAATAAATACGATACATGTAACGTTAAGCTCCTTACCTCCATGCCCGTTATCGGACACTCTGTGTGCCGCCACCCGATATCGCCCGTATAGCTCTCGAATATGCAAACCATGTTTGATCGGACGTATGGTTTTCCATCAGCTGCCGCAAACACACCATCCATATAGTAGGCGTTACGCGGACAATCGTTAAGCGGCTCCAGAGGCATTGCCTGTAACCCGAACCCGTATTCACCGGCATCCATATAGGTCTTAAAGTACCACGCATCAGTGGGGTCCATGTAAGGCACAAACAACTCTGACGTAAACCCTTTGTACATCACATCCCTCAACTCCCCGGTCTCCGGGTCCCAAACTTTGGCCCGGGATACGATGACGCCCGCCCTGGCGTCAGGCTTCAAGTGAAATTCCCAATTTGCCCATTTGACCAAGTGATCATTTTCTACCGTAAAACTCGGCCCTTCCGGCTGCTCTATAGATATGGGCTTGATCAGCTTTTTCACTTGATTGGGCCTTTGGGCTGAGTACCTATAATCTGTATTGGCGGCCTTTGGTATGGGGATGCCCCTGCCCTTATCCGAAATCTCCACCACCTGTTGGGTGTCCAAGTCAACGAGAACAGTTAACCCTTCGATTGGACGCATGTAGAAGTTCACAGTATCTTTGGTGGAATAGCACTGCACCTTAATCAACCTCCTGTTCTCGTCGGCCCCGCCGTACCACCCCGTGGAAAGCGGGAGACACCCCAGGTCCGCCAGATCGACCCCGCGCTCGACGATCGTACGGTTGAAATCAGCGTTCTTGAGCGGGCTGAACGTGGCAGCGGCCAGCTCCTCCAGCGTCATCGTCGGGTAACCGTAGTGGGAGCCGGTCTCGTGAACGGTCACCTCGGACGTGGTCAGGTCGACGGTTAGCACGAGCGACTTGCTGTCGACACGTGCGACGATAGAGGCCTTTCTGGGGAAGAGAGGGTCGCCGTGCTTCCATCCGAGGACGAGGGACTTGTCGGGCTCCTGGAGCTCGATGGAGTGGAGCGCGTAGGAGGAGGTGGAGGTGAAGAGCGCGTGGGAGTTGAGGATGGTGCGGACGGCGTTGAGTTCTTGGATGGTGAGGGGGTCGAGAGGGTGGTGGGGGGTGTCGGAGCTGTGGTCTTTGAGGCGGCGCGTTGGGATAGGGGGTTTGGCTTGGATGCGGTTTTTGGAGGAGCACCAGGCGGAGTTTGCTGTGCAGTCAAGGAGGTCGGAGACGTACGGCGGCGCGTAAGGGAGGTGGGACCAAGTGAAGAGGAGGACTAGGCCTATGCAGAGGGAAAGGGAGAAAAAACGCAGGAATCTCGGACCTTCCATGGATTATGTGTTTTAGAGAGAGAGAGAGAGAGAGAGAGAGATCGTAAATAATGAAACGCTAGCTTAGAGCTGGGTTGAAATAGAGGGCATAGCTGGGTACAGGATAAGCGCTGATGAGACGAGGAAGATTCCAAACAAAAAGATGTAAAATATTAGAGATTCAGAATATGCAAAAGTCGATTGTTGTGCATATTACCGATCACCCACCAGAGGTGCCAATGGTTCGGATTGGAGACGGAAATGTTATATCTATCCTCATAATTTAATCACAAAAATTAACCATACCCATAACCACAAAATAATCATCAGGGATTATTCATAACCATATCCACCATATTCGTAAAAAAAATAAAATAAATTATATTCATCTAATTGACGCATAAATTTTAGTAGATACTAATTCTGCCATTAAATAGCCACATCCAATTACAAAAAAAACATAACAATATATATTTGAAGTTGTTCATAATAAGCCAATATGATAAATTGGTCCAATAAAAAAGAAAAAGAGGACAAAGACAAATACGAAAGGAAGACAAAACAAATTATCTAATAATTCCAAAACTTGTGACCACAAAAGAACGAGATATTTGCACTTTAGTTTTAGTTCCACCAAGCCAGTATCATATTTCATGGTGCTCCTCCTTCACACCCATCAATGGAGCATGATTCCTACATTATTAAGCAAATGACGAAATAATTAATATGAATCGTTGTATACATATAATCTACAAAGAAGATAGTTATATACATATAATATAATTGTCAATACTTACCTCATCCATATCCATATCTTCAAAATAAGTGTAACAACCGATGTGTGCATTAGAACAACAAGCTAGTTGTGAAACATAAAGACTTAAATTAGTTCTAAAAACTGAATGCATACTAATTAATTAAGTTTGAAAAATAAGTTCGAAATTAAGATTAAAGAACATGCACAATATAAGATGAAAATAAATTAATACTTTGGGGTACCTTGAATTTCTTTCCACAACCAATTTTGGGCGCACATTAAGGCTTCCAATGTCTTTGGATGAAGTCTACTACAGTGTGGACTTATAAATCTCCCACTAGTACTGAAAGTTGATTCGGAAGCAACTGTAGATACAGGAATAGCTAATATATCCCTTGCCAAAGCACTTAAGATAGGATATTTAGTCCCATTTGATTTCCACCAACCCAAAATATCAAAATCAGATGTTCTAGGCAAAACAGCCTCATCCAAATAGTGATCTAATTCTGACTTTACATTATCGGTACTTACAGTACTAGAAACAAACAAGTCAAAGTTATCCATTAAAGGATTCATCTCTTCAAAGTCAAATTGATTCAAATGAGATGAAGTGAATGATGGTTGATGACCCATGTTAGAAATATGATTAGATCCACACTTTTATACCAAATCATAACAATATTTGCAAATCTTATCAATTTCATTCGAAGCATATTGCCCATACATAAGAGGGAAGAAATACTCAATCAGTCTTAGATCCAATACAGTAGCTACAACCATTATTCCATGAATCACACTCCAATATTTATCAAATTTCTCAATCATACTTCTTGCCATATTTTTTATTTCATTACGTCTAGAGGTAAGCCACCGGGTTAGAGACAACCCGATCTCACAAATCTTTGGAAAATAAAGATTGGTTGTAGGGTACTTAGTTCCAGAAAACAACTCGGAGACATTATAAAACAACTTTAACTTCTCACAAATCTCTCTTGCCATCTCCCAATCTCTATCATCAGGCAAACACTTATATTGCAACTCTTGTTGTCTCAAACAAAGGAAAACATCCCTGTAAATCAAAGCAGATTGAATCATTAAAAAAGTGGAATTCCACCGAGTTTTACAATCAAGCACCATCTTCTTAGTGCTTGGAAGCTTCAACTGACGTGTTGTTTCCTCAAATTTTTCTTCTCTTTTTTGTGTTGTTGTCCAATAAACAACACTATCACGAATTTTCTCAACACCACCACCAATCACTTCCAGACCATCCTTCAAAATTAAGTTTAATATATGCGCACAACAACGCATGTGAAAGAACCCTCAACCCAACAAAAGTGAACTATTAAAAAGTTTTTCAAGAATAAGATCAATCATTTTATCATTTATAGTGCAATTGTCCACGGTTAAGGTAGAAAGCTTACGATCGAGGTTCCAATCTAGCAAGCACTCCATCAAAACATCTGAAAGTGTCTCGGCGGTATGCGGCCAAGGCACATAAATAAATTTGAAAAAAAATTACAAAGAAGATGGTTACAATAAAGAATCTAAAATATAAATCTAAAGCTAAACAATAATTAAATAGATATTAAAGTATTAAAAATATCACCTTATTATTCGGCTCTGCAACATCCAAGAGTCATCAATAAAATGTGATGTTATTACCATAAATCCTCTGTTTTGATTACTTGCAGTCCACATATCAGTAATTATGGCAATTCTACTCTTATTTTCATCCAATAATTGCATTGTTTTCGAATGCTCATAATCATATATTTTAAGGATATCACTCTTGATTGTGTTTCTTGAAACAACCTTAAACAACGGTTGGACAACACTCATGAAGTTTCTAAATCCAACATGCTCAACCATAGAAAGAGGGTACTAATGCAATATTATCATTTGGGGGAGAGCTCTCCTTGCACTTTCTTGATCAAATGTATACAACTCTACTTTCCCATCTCCTACTTTTTGGGTTTGTGTTTGCTTCAATTTTTTTTGTGTCCAACGTGGACATATCGTCACATGATGCCTCAAATGGCTGGTTCCAGTTCCAGTGTTCCCACCAAGCTTCTTCAATAATTACATATTGCTTTCATCACCCCATCAACTACTGTTCTTGTGTAATGTTGCCACACCAAACTGCGAAGTCTCGAATTATTACCTTCACCATCATCACCCTAAGGTTCCTCAGTCTCACCAGCAACCTCATTTGGAGTTGGTATATCTTGGGGTTGAGCAATTTGATTTGATATTTCTTGTTGCACAACACTTGGATTCAATGTAGGTGCTAGATTACAATCAGTTGGGGTATATATTGTTTCTTCTTGAGACTTAAATTTTCTTTTAGACATTTTGATTGCTGCACACAACCAAATCCTTTAATATGTAAACAAAGACATGGTATAATACTTGTTGATGCACAAAACCAGAGGGGTCTTGGAACAACGTAAATCCGACCGTGAATCTGCAAGAAAGTAAATAACACAAGATGTATCGTGGTTCACCCCAATGTTTAGGCTACGTCCACACTGATATTGTATTTCTCTGAGGGGATTGTGAAGGTGAGAGCCTCTGTAATCTGAGAGTGAGAGCCTAGCTCTGAATATGAGAGGGGATGTGAGGCTTAAGAATTGGCCTCCCAATTGTGAGGGTGAGGATGCCTTTTTATAGACTAAGGGATCCTCCTCTTTTTACATATTTGCCTCTTCCTTTATTACACAATTACATTTAAGTCCCCTGAGTATTTATATGAGATCTAAATACGGAGGCCTTAAGTATGGTACAAACAGTAGTCCCCCAAGTCTTCAGTCAAGAGAGTCTTTTGGCTGGAGACTTGAAATTCAATCCATGTGTGGGCCGAAGTAACTAGATATCGTCTAGGACTGATACTTGATATGAGGCGGTTCTCAATCTGAAATGATGCTCAACTAGAAGTAGCACATATTACGAGGTTGTTCGGCTTGTGGCTTATGTTGCCTTGGTTGGCTCGGCTTGTGGCGTTGAAGGTGAGGGAGTCCTTTTTATAGAATAATGGCTTGCTCCTCAATACATAAATGATGGGCTAGAGTTGATGCTCTCAGTGAGGCGGTTGCTCAGCAGGCAGCGATGCTCTCTAATGATGGTGAATGAGTCCCTTTTATAGAATAAGGGCTCGCTCCTCAATACATAAGTGATGGGTTAGGAGTGATGTTCATGGCGAGACGATTGCTCAGCTGGTGGCGATGCTCTCTAATGATGGTGATGGAGTCCCTTTTATAGAATAAAGGCTCGCTCCTCAATACATAAATGATGGGTTAAGAGTAATGCTCGCGACGAGGCGGTTGCTCAGCTGGCGGCGATGCTCTCTAATGATGGTGAGGGAGTCCCTTTTATAGAATAAGGGTTCATCACTAATTACATGAATAATGGGCTAAGTCCCCTAAGTATTTTCATGAGTGCTCTCTAATGAAAGTGAGGGAGTCCCTTTTATAGAATAAGGGCTCCTTACTTATTACATAAATAATGGCCTAAGTCCCTCAAGTATTTTTCATGAGGCCCAGTTGAGACCCAATATATGGTACATAATGTAGTCCCCCAAGTCTTCGGTCAATAGAGTCTGTTGGCTGGAAACTTCAAATTGAATCCATGTATGGGCCGAAGTGGCGGTTGTTCGGAGACGGTATTTGTATACCCTGCACTGAAGCTTTGTAGGTGAAGCTTTGCAAGTGAAGCTTTGTAGGTGAAGCTTTGCAAGTGAAGCTTTGAAGCTAAAGCTCTGTAAATGAAGCTTTCGAAGTTGGAGCTTTGGTAAATGAAGCTTTTGAAACTAGAGCTCTGTAAATGAAGCTTTCGAAGCTGGAGCTTTTGTAAATGAAGCTTTTTAAAGCTAGAGCGCTGTAAATGAAGCTTTTGAAGTTAGAGCTCTGTAAATGAAGCTTTCGAAGCTGAAGCTTTTGTAAATGAAGCTTTTTGAAGCTAGAGCGCTATAAATGAAGCTTTTAAAGCTAGAACTCTGTAAATGAAGCTTTTGAAGCTAGAGCTCTGTAAATGAAGCTTTCGAAGCTGATTGACATGAGTGAGGCTCATGAATGTTTATGTTGATTGACATGAGTGATGCTCATGAATGTTTATGTACGATTGATATGAGTGATGCTCATGAATGTTTATGTATGATTGACATGAGTAATGCTCATGTATAATTTGAAGTACTGGGCTTACTTTTGATCACCTGGTTGGTGATAATAGCGGCAGGCTGCCGAATCAATTTTGGAGTACTGGGCGTACT